ATGAGTGTGGATCTCCCTGGTCCCCATAGTCTTCCTTGTTATGGTGAAGCAGAAGCACCAAATTTTGGTGACTCATCACCACTGCCTGAAGTTCATGGTCCTGAGGAAAATTATTCTTGCTTACAAGTGTCTGCCACTGAGCTGCTCCGAGAAGAGACAGGTAAGAAATTCAATCCCTGAAGAACCGCATTAATTAGGGTAAGAGAAGGAAGAAACGGGATGAGGGGCTATCGCCTGTTTATGAATTATAGTCCATAAGCAGGTGTTATTACCAGCCTTCCAGATAACCCTCTTTTGAGGTTTTACTGGTGACGCCTCTGTTACCTTCTAGCCTCCCGCTGTAGTAGAGTCCGGGGACACAGAATCGGGCAATTAGAGGCTGTTGTGATGTGAATTTGAGAACCTAATGTTTCAGGCTCTTTGGAGACACATTTGTAACAGTAAGCGAGGTGACAGTAAGCTGGGCATCCAGGTGTCCTGGGTGGTGTTCTCAGCCGCTGGGAGACCTAACTCCCCAATTCGGGGTGTCGAGTCCCCAATTTTCAGTGAGGTTCTACTGTTAGTCTGCAGTTTTACCCAAATGGCTTCTTTCTCCCGAAAGAAGCGATTGGCTTTTCTCTCAACCTTTAGGAATGTGGTCGTCACTGATCAGCCTTCCACTGGTGAGCGTGCCTCCTAAACCCCAAGGCAGTGTTCCCTTAGTTTACATAGGATAGTTTCTAGACTAGCTGCAGGGGCCAAGGCCTGAAATTCATTTGACTGCACAGACTCAGCTCACTGCTGCTGCTAACTTGTGTGTGTGTGTGTGTGTGTGTGTGTGTGTGTGTGTGTGTGTGTGTGTAATGCATGCCACAGCAGCAGCACACTGTGTTTGCTGTTTATCTCAGTGCAGTGTCACCTCTTTTCCAAGCTTTGGTTTTAGATTTTGTGATTTTTGATGTGGCCAAGTGCTGGCTTGGGAATGAGCGGTAAATGTCTCTGACTGCTTTTGTACCAGCAGAACAGACAGAAGTATGTATATATATATATATATATATATATATATATATGTGTGTGTGTG